CTTTTTCTTTTGTCAGACAAATGTACAAGGCCTTTGAAAGGACAGAACTGAATCTTCAACCATGCTGCCTTTGGAAAAGAGTTGTGTCTCCATTTTTGCCTCATTTGCTGGTTTGTTCTGTCAGACACAGGTGTCATAAATCTGACAGTGAGGCCCCAGGTAAATCACCCAGCCAATGACTACAGAACTGTTAATACAACAAATACACATCTGGCCAGAAAGTGTGTCTGTGCTCCCCACCTCTGTCACATTGAAGGGCACTTCCTCAGTGTGTTCTTCTTGAAACGGGGTCTTCCATTTCCCTTTGAAGAAAATGGCATTCACAAGGACCAGCACAGTCTGAGGATTAACAGAGCTTGGTTCAAGGAAATCCCGGATCTGTCCTTTAAGAAAAAAGTAGGGCACAGAGTAGTAATTTTCATAGCAATAGTTTTAGAAGTCAATCAATATACTGCTCCTTCTCTTGACTTTTCCAAAACTCTGCACATTGAATTAAGTTTCATGAGGATGATTTAATAATACACTGAAAGACTGGCAACTAGCCAGACATTTCTGCAAGACAGGTAGGTTCAAGAGTGCTATAGATTCCCAGGAACATTTCCAACCAGCACTTGGAAAAAAATAAATATTTATATAGAAAAGAAGGAAAGGGAGAAGGAAGAACCAAGACAGATTATCTCAGTATGTTTGTTTCTCACAATTCACTCTAAGTTTTTCCTTCCACCTCAACACAATAAATGCACACAAGCTTCTGAATAATTTATTTCCCATCTTCAGTTTGGTATGTATTACTTTCTCCCCTGGAAGCCCACTTACCTATCCAGCATATCCTTGTAAATATATGCCAATAGTCTAGAGAAGCTGGGAGTAACTTTGCATGAGTTAATCTCTCCAGATACATAAAGAGTGCATATAAAATGTGCATATAAAGTCTGCATATCATGGCACCTCTGCCTTTGCCAGATGTATTTAAAACACACTGTCACTGCCACACAGGTGCAATAGAGTCATCCCTTTCCACAGAAAATAGCCACTAATGGGGACAGGAAGAGGAAATTTCTCCTCTAATGTTTAGTCCTTTCAGAAACTGCTAAAATACAGTTGTCAGAGAGAAGTATATTTCATAGTCTTGTCAGACTTACCATTTGTCTGATTTTTCACCCAGGAATTAATGCGCTGTCTAGTTTGATTTGATGCTGTTTTGAAGTTGACCATTTCTAGACCAGATCTGTACAGCTTTTTCACACATTTTAAGTAAATCTGTAAAGACACCAATTAATGGTAGCCAGGGAACCAGTAATTTTTTAGAAACAATATAAAAGTGAAATAAAATATGGGTAATAAAATTTTTATAGGGATGTCATGGTTAAGGTGTTCTCATTGTTTACTTCCTGAAAGAATTTGCTAAAACTGGATCAGAAAAATTATTTTGTGGCAATGACAATTTTATGACAATTTCAGATCTGACATCTTTACTATGTAACCAGTTAAGAGCATATATTAAAAACATTTAAGAATTTCTGGAAGAAAGCCTGATCCAAACCCCCTGGTTTTAGGTTCATTATAGAGGGTTTTGTCATCTTTAAGTTCACTTTCTTTTTTCAAAACATTTTCCTTATTTTTACAGATAAGAAGTTCCTTTTATTTAGAATATTTGTATTTGTATTTTGCTTTGGAAATATGAAAGAAAGATTTTGACACTTTCAAAATTTGGTTTTGAGGTGAGTTTTCAAGTGAAGAAATATGCCAAAGTTAAATTATTTTCTGAGAAAAACTCCAACAACCAGTTAAAATGAAATGCTTTGTGGGAGCAAGTGGGAAGTGAGGAGTTACATTATCAATAATTTTGTTTATTACTCCATTCATTTTTTTAGTAGGGCCATATTTTTGCCACAAATTGTTTTCCATTTTAGACTGTTGCCAGGGCCATGGCAAAGGGAAAAGCCATGTAAATCCACACCAGTAGGGACTATTGGATAAACTGGTCACCTACTCTGGCCAGTCCACCCGGATTACAGAATTTTACAGGGTTTAGCAAGAGATCACTTACCGGTAGGATCTGACTTGTCTTTTCAGCATAGAGTCTGTTGGCAATGTGCAGTGAATAATTGGCTTCTGGTGCAGTGATATCAGAGAGAATTTCTTTAAACAGTAGGTGGATATTCGCAGACTTGCCACACTAAGTTGTTGGTAAGAAGACAGAGAAGTACAGCTGTTAGGTTATTTTATGAGAAAGAGGATTATTTATAAGGTACAAATAATATGGGAAAACACAGAGTGTTTGAACATTTGCAAATGAACATGTAATAGAGTCTAAGAGTTCCATGGGAGGGATTTTTAGTATAAGCAGCTAATGATATATAATTAATTCTCAGCCTATTATGCCACTCATTCTAGAAGTTAATTATTGAAATTGGTGACTTTTCATAGGTACAAAGCCTCTAAATCCCAGGCACTCCTTGCATTTTCATGGCATTTTTTTGCAGAAGCCGCAGATAGAAGAAGAGAGCTAGATGGCAAGGGAGTCAGGAAGTGTTTTTTCATACAGTGAAAAAATGAATCACCTGTCTCTAGTTCCAGGAATGGTGACACAGGCTAAAAGCATGTAAGAAAACTGCACAATGATAAACAGTAGGTGGGACTGTATTTTTTCAGAATAATTGTGCTGAACAGCTCCTTTCTAAATGCTTACTGAGTCCCTAAATGCCCAAGCTTTAGATACTGCCTTTGGTTAAAAAAAAAAAGGTCGCATCTTTTTTTAAGTCCCACCTTGTGTTTCGGATCCCAAGTAAATGGGGACACACCAGGCTCCATGGCTTTTGTTATCTTTACAGAGGCAGCGGATTAACATGGACAGAAGCATACAGGTATCAAGGTACTGGGACCCCTCTGGTTCTCTTGGCGTGGCAGTGGGAATTGGAGGCTGGAAAAGCCCCTGTAGCTTTGTAAGAGTGTGGTTACTTTCCATCCTTTGGGGATTCTGGGCTCTTTTCTGCTGTCCCTCTTTGAAGCCTGCCTGCTGTACCCTGGCTCCAGGTACTGAGACCCTTTCAAGGGCTGTAGCCCAGCAGCGCTTGCAGGTGTGAAGTTCACTTTCACCAAAGTGTATCCTGGTGCCCAAACACCCTATCCTGTCCTGTCACTTGCAGTATGTGCAGCCTGTCTTCTTTTTCTAGTGGTGTTTTGGAGGTTGTTTTTGTTCATTTTGGGTAGTTTTTTTTGTTTGTTTTTTTTGGTGGTTGTTTGCTTGGCGTTTGTTTTGTTGCTGTTGTTCTTTGGTGGTTTGTTGTATTTTTTTTTAACTTACATCTCTTAAATTAAGACAATTAGCAAAGGTTTGGCAAGGTGTTGAAACTACTGAAATCACAATCAGAACAGTCTATTCTCAGGAAAAGGATGTGAAAGAGAAATCGATGTACCTTAGGCTTCTGTACCTTGGTCTGGATACTTCCAAGTCCTGCAATTTTGTCAAAGTGAAGAACCTGCAATGGAAAGTAAAAATTAGGCATGTGAAGTCAACTGATATTAGTGACAAGTAGGTTTTCACTAACCGAGTCTGATTAGCACAAGGATGAGCTGAGAAATTTCATGTGAGCTTTAAAGCAGGCACCGAACTGAAAATTTGTGATTGTGATCTTCAGCTTAGATTCTGTCTTTTCCAGTTAATGGCATTGTCCATAAATCAGATACAGCCTTACAGCACTGTATTTATAACGATAAATCTTGTTTTCCAAATGTTTCATCTTTTATATGTTTCAAGTTGTCCTTTCCACCTGGAAGGAATCAGGCCTCTGAGATAGTATAAGCTGAAGCAAGAGACCTGCCTTAACCATCCTCCAAAACTGCTTTCTTAATGAAAACCAAAGGTTGTTCTTGCCCTTTCTTGGGGAAATGCAATAACTGAAAAGCTCCAGAGTTTGGAAAGTCATTTTTTTGCTAGGCAGGTTTGGGAGGTATAAATGGATACTCTGCTGCCTCTTTGAATGGGATCAAAGAGAGTTTGTACCCATTTATGTACCTTACCTTCTCCATCTGATACTCAGTGTTATTTCTTGCTCCCAGGTAGACCATGGCCAAGGCTGCAATCATGCTCAAGGGGCAATAAAATATGTTGTCATTGGGGTGGTGAAGTTTCACCTCTTTGAATACATCAAAACAAAATTCTGCATTTGCTGCACTGATGGAGCCCATTGTGAAATCAGCGTTTCCTAAAGCAAACAGAAATACCACTTTATGGTCACAATACGTAGCGCTTGTTTTAAAGAGCATTGCCAATAGCCCAGAAACTGCCACTTCATTGCTGGTTTTGTGATACTGAACCAGTAAATGATGTGAAGCCTACAAATTCTGTGATCATTAGAAATTTTGTAACTCCTGATCCATTCACATACAAACAGCAGCGCTTTTTGTTTTCTTTCAACAAGATTCTCTCAGCAAGATAGTACCTTGTACTTACTTGCCTTTTAAGAAATAGAAAGTTTCATCCAGCCTTCTATATGATAAATATAACATTAATGAGTTTCTATTTGGCCATCCAGAGGGCTCTGAATGATGTTTGAGGCAATGCAAACATAGTATTTTATTTCTTCTATGGCTGCTCTCAATCTTTAAATCAAATGTAGTCACACATTACACTTTTTGTGTACTTCTCACCGTTGCTTAGTACAGCCAGCCACAAATTTGGAGATTGCTTTTCTGCAGTTTATAGCAATAATACGAGCTGTAAGACAGTTGCTTGGATGCTGGGAGATAAATTTAGGGTTTTCCTGTGGTCCTGTTTCAGACATTTAATCACTGCTAATCCTTTTTAGCATAATCATGCATATATATATGTATATATCTACACATATATAAATATGTATATAAAATATATGGGTTTTGTCAAGGAGTGAGATTGAGAAAAGATAAATACCTTTCTTGCCAATTATTAGAATTATAAAAGGAAAGTTTTTATGTGACAACAGGTTTTAAATGAAAAAGAACTATTTCTACTCAATGTTGTGGTGCACAAGCCACATATTTTATACACTGAAATGTATTTGACAGTCAAATAGTATAAGATATAATGAGAAGGCAAGGCAAAATTACTCTATATGTTGTCCTTTTACATACCTGTCTTATACTTACCTTAAGGTTCTTAAACATAATATAATTTTTTTCCATCTTAAAGAATACAAATTAGAAATTACATTTTCTTGGAAAAATACTTACCCCACAAACTTCAAAGAGGCATGTAATAATCCAGCTTGCCAGCTGCAGCTAAACAGCTCCCTGAGCTCTTGGTGATATATAGAGCATGATTTTGAGACACTCCCACTGTTGCCTTCAAGGAGTCATCTTCAAACACTGCCTTTTGTCACGATTCATTGCACCTTGAAACATTGAACAGGCCTAGGTTAAGCTGGTATTCTATCTGCAGCAAGTCAGCTTTATTTATTACATAAAACCTGATTTAAAACTGAATTATTTAAGCTTTTGCTGTAACCTTCTCTTCTCTTCAGGGGTGAGGCACTCTCAGTGCCAAAAGTACTCTAACACAGCATTCCCACCAGTCATGAAGGGAAAGGTGGATGCTGGGCTAACTGCTGAAGGTCTGGTAGACATGCAACATCTCACTACAACATCTGTGCAGTGGTACAGAGGGAAGTTCCTCAAAAACAGTGGCCATCTGACCTTGCCAAAGTAAAGTAATCCCAAGTAAAGCCAGTGGCAGGATGGTCATTCTATTGAGAGAGGTCTGAAATGGATTTTTTTTCCATGTTAGAACAAACTCAAAACTTTTTGTTTAGTTTTCAAGACTGAAAGGTGTTTTGGTCTGAAAAAATGCAGAAATATATTCCTGAGTGCAGACTGTTGTGGTGTATGGCTTGTACTTGTTAAAAGCAGAGCCGCATCCATTTCTCTGCCTAGGTGAGCCTACAGTATTTTACCTGAGGCCACACTATGAGGGTCTACAGCATAGGTGTGCAGGAAGAGGGGAGAAAGGCTCTGAGGAGAAAGCACATTTGCATTTGCATTTTGCTAAAACTTCATTTTGATGAAAACATTTAGAGCAACAATGATGAGATGACTTAAGAGCCTGAAGATGGGCATGGAAGAGGAAAAGATTTGAGGAATGGTCAGAAATTACATATTTCCTGGGTTGTAAGCCTGACCCCAGAGTATTCAGGTATTCAGAAATTTATTTAAACCAGCCAGTCATATTTAAAGAATGACTAAGTGTCAGCTTTTAATTTTCATTCTGTGTAGGTCATGGCAGCAAGGCCCATGGTGCTTGCACAGGCCATTCCCATAGATCTTCCATACCTTGTAACTATGGCAGGTGAATAAACTACAGAATCTGTCAGCAGGAACATTCATGGTCTGTTAGACAACCATAATGCACAATATAAAATATAATTCAATTGTAACAAGCTATTACTCTTTATTAAATAATAGACTTGATGAGCAGTAAAGAAACAAATTTGGCATCTGCAAAGGCCATAGGGTTGGATAATAGGAATCCAAATTTGTATGTGTTAAGTCACAAAGCATACAGCAGTAAGTGCACCCTCTGTAAAAAGGAAAGGGAGCTGCTCTCCCCTTCACAGTGTTCTTTGCCTTGCTGAAGTGCAGGGATGTATGTGCAGAGCCTGATAATTGGAGTGGTTTTCAGTTTCCCCATTCAGAATGAGGATATTATAGCAGCAATGAGGATGGGAAAATCTAAAGATAAGAAGGAGCTTTCCTCTACTGCTGGCATAAACAAGGAAACCAAGGAGCTGGGAAAGCAGCTCTTTCCAACATTTCTATGCTCTTATTTTCACATGTAATTTCTTCTAGTTGTTCAGGAAGTACTAAACACTGTTTGAGGGTAATGTTTGCTTGTGCTTTCGGATGACCTGTCTGTCTGTATGACACATACTGGGTGCATTGTACTGTGCCTGAGTCCCTCTGACTGAGACCATAAGGAACCAGGACTTCCGACTACAAAACCTACTACCAGTTATATTTTGAGGAAAATAAAATTAGTCTTCTTAATGGTGACAGGGGAGGAGTGGGGAAGGTGAGGGAGAAGGTAGAATGTGACTCAAAGGTGCCCTCTTGGGCTTTTTCAGTGACAATCCAAAAATCTTCCTTTGCCCTTCTTGCCTATCTATTGCAAAGCTTTTGAAGATATAATAAAAAATTATGTTATACATAGGTACTAAGAAACTGTTTAAAGGAAAGCACAGTTTCAGAGAAAACTGAGGAGAACTGCAGCCATCAGAGAAAATAAAGTTCAGTGGAAATGTGAATATGTAAGGAGTTACTCAATAATCAGACTGTGGGAAGCCACAGATCTTTCTGTTGTGGGACAAATGTGTGTTACGTTTCCATGGATCCTCATGGAAATACTATTTGACATCTTTTGCTTTGCTTTTTGCCAGTCTACACTTTTGCAGGCTGTCATGTGTGCTGGTGTGGTTCAACACTTGGCAAGGAGCATGTCCTCCCTGGGGAGGAGGCAGTGGAATGCCCTTCAGGGCTATGTCTGCTCCAGGCACCATTTGGAGTTTCCTGCTTTTCTCTGCTCTGTGAGCTCTATTGCTTGGCATCGAACTTTTACAAACTAGTTTCCCACAGCAGAAGCATTTGCTGCCAGAGTGGAGGGTTTACCTTCTATTTTAAGTAAACGTCCATGATTTTGTGGGAGCACTGCCCTCCGCAGTAGGAAGTGGTGCCACTACACTAGCAGCAGGAAGCTACTTTCCAGCTTCTGGTGTTTTTCACCACATATTTTTTCATGTCTTGTAGATTAAAATGGCAATAAGGAAAAAAGATTGCATAAGGAGAAGAGAATGGATTTTTAAATTATAATTTATACTGTATTTTGTTGCAGGCTCTGAATTATCTAGATATCCCTGAAGCAAGTTTTTGGGGGTTTTTTATTATTACAATATGAAGTTACTTCTGCTATAGTAAACTAAGTGTTTCAGCCACACCTTCTCCTTTGGTCACACACAAAATTCCTGTTGTAAGATTTGTGCCCTTTGGGATAATATGTTAAAGCACTTGCCTTTATTACTTTAATGCTTTTTCTTTTACATTTTATCTCAAAATTGATAGGCCTGATTGTGCAAGCTAATGCATTTTAATACTGTTCATTTCCCTTTTTTTCTTTTAACCTAAGTAATTTTAATTTGAGACAAACCAGATATACACAGAATTCCAATGGCAGATGTTGAAAAACACATATAGCTGTTTTTTGAATACTTTATTTATCAAAGAGCTAACAGCCTGTGTTTTGTGTTCTCTTACCAGCTAATTGGTATGAAAACTGTGTCTCTACAGGTAATTTTACTATTTCAGGCTGTACTTCATACTGCAATTGCAGCCATATGAGGTATCTCCACACTATAATGGGTCTGCTTTATTCAGCAGTTCAATTTGTGTTGAGTACTGTAATTTACTGTAATTTTTCCTGCATATCTCAGCATTTGGAAGAGCCCTTTGAATCATCAGTTCTACAATGGTAGCAATATGCTCCCAGTGTTTACCTTCTTCCCATCAGTGAGTAACGGGGGAAGGAGAAGTGAGTCATCAAAGGCTGGAATATTTTTCCCATAAAAGCAAATATTCTTCATGTATCTGTGGATTTTGGACATTACCTTCTGCCAGACTAGGCAGGCTGCTCCCTTCTTGTGATCCTGTGCTATTCCTTCCCACCACCAACTCCACAACATCCGGGAGGTGGTTTAGGGAAGTAGATCATAAGCAAGAAAATTAGCTTTACCAGAAATTTTCCTCTTGATTTGCTTCCCAGAGAACTGCTCACCCACAAGTCAGGCAACTAATAGTGGTCATGTAAAAGAGGGAGAAGGTTCAGAGTTTATGTACCCTAATGTTGAATTGTCCAGTGCCTAAACTCAGCATAGGGAATATTTAAAAGTGGGAGGTAGACTTCAGTGTTATTTACATAATTTACATTTTTGGAAAGGATTACCATTATTTTTACTTACTATATTAGACTCTTCCTCTGTTTACTTAATACTGCAGACTACAACATTTACTATTGCATTTGCAGTGGGTTTATCATGAAAAATGGTAGTAATAATAATAAATAATAAACAATAAACACAGACTATGCATTTAAAAACCATCACTACAGGTTTTAATTTTTTTTATGTTAATGATTAACAAAATAGCTGGAACAAGAAACTCATGCTACCTGAGGCCCAAACAGATCTAGCTCTTAAAAGTAAGAATGGCTGATCACTACTCAAAGTTTAATGTGGGAATTAAGTGTCTAATTTCTGCATCACAGAGCAGGCCTTGTCAGAAAATTGTTCCATTCTTCTGAAAGCCTGGTTTTGTTACGTGGGAGGTTATGAGGAAGTTGGAAAACTTGGTCACATATACAGGGTTTTTCACCAAAAAATTAGTCTGCCCTTCTTGAAAGCAAGCAAAATTACACCAGAAAATCCTCTGTCTTCTCTGCTCTCTGAGAATAAACCCTGAGAGCTCCAATTTGAAACACTGCCTCCAGTCAGTATTTAATAGGACGCCTCCGGGGAACATCGTGATGCTCCCCTATAAAGTTCCTTGAGACCTTAGGTAGGTAAGGCTAAAAGAGACCAAGTGCCTGAGGTTACGCTTTTAATGCAGATTCCTATCCTCCTGTCTACTTCATGTGAGAGAAGGCATCACTTATCTTCAGGGCACTAAACTCATGGGTTTGTTGGATCCCTCCTGCATTAGGAAAAGCTCAAAGTAAAATTTTCTTCGCAAATACCTCATCATGTATTTTAAGGTAGATGTCATTTTCATGAGACCTCCTAAAAGTAAAATACGCCTAAGATTCATGGGGTTTAGGGTTTTATCTTTAATTTGCGTCTTCTCAGATAGTCTTTTTATTTACAGCAAACCAGACTTTAGGATAAAGTCTAGAAAAATGTCTTTTGTTTTGTCTTTTATCCTTATTGCTTGCCAGTTGGGATATAAGTGGGAAGAATGATCTAATTTTCAATATAACCTCCACTTAAGGAGAGGAATATCTTCCAAAGAAGAGAATGGTGTTGGTTTGGTTGTGTCTGATGAAGAAGAGGAATGGACGGTCAGCTCTGAACTCACAAGTTTCTGGGCAGCATAGAGGCATTACAAGGAGCCCCGTGGAACAGCCTGCCTCAGTGCCTTCTTCATTGACTTCCACAATTGTCTTCTGGATGGCCTTGGACACAACCAAGCCACCTTTCATAGAGATTCCCGACAAATCAGCTTTTCCCCAGTCAAAAACATTCATTACTCCCATCTCCTGGAGAGTATTGTTGAGAACATAACTTTCCTCCATCTTGAACTGGGGCAGGTACACCTTCACTCTCAGTGGTTGCATCGTAGACAAGCTCGTCCATTCTGCCAGTTTTTCATAGGTGAGGGCACATTCAAGCTGGAGGGTGGTATTGGGAGAAATGAGTGGCACCATAATCAATGCAAGGAAAGGAAGTTCAGTTTTTCCCACTTGTCTTTTGACCATACTGGAGCAATGCTAAAGCATTGCTCTCTATATGTGTCACTAGAGAGAAAATGAAGTGTTACCTGTTCTAGGCCAGTGAAGTCCTCACAGTCATCTTCAGGAAGAAGAATGAACATGCTCAGTTCATTATTGAAGTACTGGAGCTCTAGGACTTTTGTTTTCAGTTCCTCTATGATGGCCATGTTAAAATATCCTTCTTGAAACATCATCTGCACTTTCCTTCTCTCGTTCTGGAACAAATGAAACATATTGAATGGAAAATACGGAAATTATCACCCTGGTTTTAATTGGTTTCAGCCCTGAGCTTAGAGTTCAGCTCAAAAGCATTATTTAAACTGGTCATGGGTTTAATATACTTGTAGCATCGATATGTTCCTCTCAACTGTAGTCCCAATGAAGTTATCCATTTTAGAAGCATAACAACTACATTTCCCTTTCTAATGGTGCCAAATTACTTTACTCACAACTTCCTCATTACATCTTTCTTTTTTCTGCTGTGTCAGATGAGGAAACTGATACATCTTATGCAACCATAAATTAAATTTGTCATGAATAATGTATACATTCCCCTGAGATAATTTGTCTTTAATACTTTTTTCCCTGAAAGCACACACTGTTCCTTTCATAAATAGTAGCAGAGAAGCAGAATCGTCACTTTCAATCTCAAGAGCAGACTATTTTTGAAATAGCACCCTTAGCTGCAAAATCCCCAACAAAGTTAGTGCATGCGCTCAGTGGAATTGCTCCAACAAGGATCTCAGCTGCACAAGAACTTCTGATGTGAATTGGTACAAACTTTACATATTTTGTTAGGAAAACAGAGAGAAATACAGTCTTCTATTGTTCTCACTTAAGACCACTGTTTTGTCTTGGGATAAAAGAGAGGAGAAAAGCCCCCATCTGTTATTACAGGAGACAGACATCTGACCTCCATCCCCCAGCAGCTTCAGTTCCTCCCCACTCTGTACCTTGTTCAGGTGGAAATATGCTTCCTTAGTGTCTTCTTTCTTAAATTCTACAGCCCACTTTCCTTTAAAATATATAGCATTGACCAGGACAAGTACAGTAGAGGGATCAATAAAACCAGCAGCAAATAGGTCTTTGATTTTACCTTTAAAAATAATTAATTAAGATTAATTATTACTTTGTTCTGGCAATCAACTGACTTTGACTATTAATAGTTATTTCTTTTAAATTGACAAGTGGTATAATGCTGTCAGACAAATGACAAATATTTATGTACAGCTTTGGAACCAAAGAACTCAAGGCATTTTTGTTCCAATTACTACACTTATTTCCTATTGAAAAGAAAAAAATAATGCAGATGTTTAATATATAAAAATCTTGCTATCTTTGGAAAAAATTCATAGGTGGTTCAATTGCAAACAAAAAAACCTGCACATTTTTTTTTTACCTTTTGTTTCATTTTCAACCCAGAAGTTAATTTTGTCTCTGACTTCTTCTTCAGTGTATTTAAAATTTACTGGTTCCAGTTCTGCTCGATAGAATTTCTTTGTGGAATCCAAGTATTGCTGGAAAGTACAAATTGCAGAAGTTTTTTGCGATGTGATCATTTTTATAAGATAGATAATTTAATGGCTTCAGGATAGTTCCATGTAGTAGATCAGCAAGAAAGAAATTGGTAAAAAAGGCATATGTCCCTTTGTGCTTCATGATGGAAAACATTCTGCTGAGTTCCTCACTCCCAGGAGCTGTTACAAGGGAGACCACAGTCCCTTACCTGAAAGAATGGATAAGTAATTTCTCCAAAGAGCCTGTTGGCAATGGTGAGACAACAGCCTGGTCCAGGTTCACTGACTTCAGCCAACAGAGCCTGGAACTGGGAATGGACTCCTTCATCTTCTTCACACTTCAAACAGGAAAACAGATGTTTCGTGGTAGGCTTGAGCTTTCCTATGCAAAGTTGGACCTGAGGGTGAATTGCAGCCTCTCTCCATGAGAAACCCTACTCCACCCAGCTGACTCAGGCACTGGAATAAATGCACCAGGACACCACCTCCTCTTCCCCCTGTGCCTCACGTACAGAATGACAAAACAGGTCCCCTTCTGGCTCCTCACCTCCAAACCACGCCGTACCCTACAGTGATGTCTCTGTGCACAATAAGGAAAGGGCTGCTGGCTTAGAGACTGGGAGAAGCAAGTTCCAAGGTGCCTTTGGCATGCTCTCTAGGCAAAACTTTGCAGGTGGCAATTGAAGCATTTGTCACATTTTAGATTAGCACTGCTGTTTTGGTTAGAAACCCAGAATGAGAAGGCTCAGCTGTTGAATTGCGTGATCTCACAAGGCCCCTTAAATAACTAATAAAGGAACAGTAATAAGCAGGTCAGCAAATCTAGATGGAGAGGTTGATCAGCCCTGCTGTGCTTTCTGATTAAGTGATTGTCTTCAAGGAAAAGGGCTGACAAACTGGTTCCTGTTGGTTCAGGTCAGAGCTGCAATTGTGTCTTACCTGCTCAGAAGGGTATCTGTTTTCCTGTCTCGTACTGCTCAAAACTTCTCTGAAATGAAAGACCTGCAATGTAAATGTTGGGTGAATGCATATGAGTGAAGGTACTTCAAAGCTAAAGCAGTGTTGCAAGCCTATCCCAAAACACAGCCAGACTCAGGCCCTGTGGAAAGGCCTCTTTGCTCTTTACCATAAAATCCGTGCAAGTGAACAAATAGTTTTAGGAGATCGTGAGTGCATGAAATCTTTGAAATCTTTCTATGTGAGCAAGGAGGCTTTGGGTGTCCAGAGAAGGCAAGAAACCACATTAAAGGTAGGGAACTCTTCTGAGCTCTGAGAGTGCAGGGATACCTCCAAAATGCTTTCTTTAGCACTGATGCATTCATTGAACAGTCAATTCAGTAATAATGTGTAGTCTGAAGAAATTTGGTATTAGGAACTGCATAATGTATTTTTAAAAGGGCTTTCTGTGTGCATCAGCCCTTTGGATGTTTAGGAACTGTATCAGATGGTACAATCATCCTCTACCAGCATTCCCTTTTCAGAGCAAAGCCCTACCTTCTCAATCTGCTCGAGTGTGCTGCCCCTGGCTCCAAGGACAACCATTCCAAAGGCAGCTGACAGACTTAGTGGGGAGAAAAAGATGTTTTCATTTCTTTTTCTTTTTTTCAGCTCTCTGAAAAAGTCAAGACAGAACTTGGCATTGGCTGCACTGAGAGAGCACATTGTGGCACTGTGATCACCTGAAACAAGGGTAAAAATAATTTAGGTTTCTCATCTTTACACCTGCTATGTTTAGATGCCCTGGTAAGGTTTTTTGCAATAGTTTGGCTCAATTATTCAGTACTTTGTGGAAATTCCTTGTTCATTACATTTGGGATTTCCCAGTGAATCTGAAAATCAGCACCCTGAATAGCAGAAGAAACACATTTACAGAAACAGTATTCTGAGCTGAGCTGCTTCTACAACTTAAGTAATAGCTATGGTTTTGCCGCTTAGCCCAAACTTTGTCCTAACCAAAATTCCAGCTCAGTTTATATCCTGATCTTTGTGCCTTGAGTCCCCTAGGCATAGCACTTATTAATTACACCCTTGATCATATCTGACTCTTGTTTCTCTTTAAAAACTTTATGTGTATTACTCAGCTGTGCCTCACATACATGTCCTTCTAAGGCTGGTTGCTTAACAAATGTTTGACAGAAAATGGAACTACAGACAGGCTCACTCAGTAAGATTTTGAACAGAAACACATTGTGCATTAGTAGAAAATTGTGCATTAGTAGAAAATTCCAGACATATTTTTTTATCTGAAGCTTAAACTCTTTTTTCTGCAGCTTGAACTCTTTTTCCCAGATACTCTTCAGTTACAATCACAATTATTACAAGCAGACCATCTTAAATGTCCTGCAAAACTCTTCATATCTTAGACCTAGAACAGAGTTTCTTTCTCATTAAAGACTTACAGACGTAGTGCCTGCATCCAGTGAAGTGTTGTAGAAACATCTGATCATAAGTTCAGTATTTTAGAAATTCCACTATTCTAAGTCCCATTTGATTGGATTCTGAGTCTGAATAATTTCCTACACACATGTAGTAAGCATATTTCCCCTATTACACAAGAAGAATTAAATTATCCATATAAACATTTGAAAGATAGAGCACTATAGAAAGACTATGCTCCTATAAGTGTCATGCAGAAGAAGTGGCAAATGATTTTAATCTTCTTTAGAAGCACACTTGGAAAGCAGACGTTCAGAAGTACCATTGCAAAAGTTAAGCACAGATTCATTACACAGCCCATACATTTTAATGTAATCCAAAACATTGTCACTTCCCCAAAATATATCACATGCCATATATATGTGCAAAGGAGGTATGTTACTTAAGCACATCTTGATCCTTAGATCCTAGTTCTGTCATTTAGAATTAAAGATCATGGAGATACTTACCTTCTCCTTGGTACTGATGGTGTCAACTGGACACTCGAGCTTCTTGACGGAGCTTCTGGAGCAATGGGATATAAAACCATTGCCACTCCCAGTGGCAGAATAAATTTCACTCATGATGAATCACATTCCTGTCTGTTGCAACCAGTTCGTATAATTAGGGGATCTGTTGTGGAATCTCGAATTTTTCTATATCCCTAGGAGTTCAGAAAGAAGTCACAGTTTTAAATGCCTACTAAGATGTAAAAAAAAAAAAAAAAAAAATCTAAGTAGTAATAAAAAAAGAAAGCAACCTCCTAAAAACAAAGGCAATTTCAGAGTGGTTTTTCACCTGTAAAAAAAAAATTCTGAGAATTTTGTCGTGTTTTGATGTCAGAAGTGGCACCAATGAATGCAACACAGGTTTTGTAGCAGAAACAATTATACTGCTATAACCAGCCCACTGATTTAGTCCTGGTCTAAACCATATCTTAAGTTTAGCCCAGAACTTCCCATTACTCCTCATTTTTGTCAGTGTCTCTGAGGACACCTGATCATTGTCTTATATTGCTTCAGCAAGGTGTAGGCAGCAGGGACAGAGCAACCTGCTAATAAGAAGTAGTATATTTCTGGTGTTATTTTCCTGAGGAATTATCTTTCTTCACATTCAGGCTGATATATGTGGGTGGGCAAGTATTCATATGAGTACTAACAACATTGTTTTGTAACAAGGACTTAGTTATCACTACTAAGATGTATTTACACATCAATCCAACCAGATACTGGGCTTCTCTGGTATTTAGGAAACTTTGAAGGCAGTTTCCTATCAGTCATAAAGTACTCATGGGATTTAATTCCCTTTCAGTTTGAATTTTCCCATAGCTATTTCTTGGGAGGAAATAGAAATTAAAAACACACTGTTCATTCAAGCCCTGAGAAAAAGAGATTTTGCCTGAAGCAATGAAAGCCATGCAGTCTGGTTTAACTCGCTTAACACTGGGACAAGAAAATTTCCCAAAGAAGCATCTGGCTTGCTTTCCTGGTTTCTGGCTGCTCTCCACACAGTCACCTAAAACTCACCTGCTGAGCCTGTTCCTCAGTGCTGAGCCCTCTTTGACCATCCAGGAGCCCTCCAGCAGTTACATCTGCACCAGCCAAGCTGGGATCAAGGCCACTTCACAGCTGCATCCCCCACACCCACAGTCACACCAGGTTTCCTTACCACCACAGAGCCTCTGACATCTCAATCCTTGAAATAATTTAATCATGGTGCAATAAAAAAATAGCAGCTTAAGCTGGTGCCTCCAAGGAGGGACCCCAAAGAAAGGACACCTTGGATAAAAGGACACCCTTTATACCCTCACCAGCTAAGTGTGGGAAAGTCCAAGGTCCTTGGCTCCTGCTGCATCTCTGAGTGTCCAGTTCCCTGGCCAAGCCACAGCTCCCAGGGCCCTTTGTTCTGCACTGGGTGGGCATTTCACAGCCCCTTGCCTGGGCTCCCACCCAGAGCCCAGCCTGCAGCTGCATCCCGAGCTACCTGCTCTGAATGGATTCCCCAACACTCACCACCGTCACCGACAGGGAACTGCAGAGCAGAACTGGGCAGATGGTGTTTGTCTTCTTGTAGTGATGGGCTGTTCTCTGCAGTCTTATTTTGGGCACTAGTCACAGTTGGAGGAAAACTGTTGCGGAATATGAGGGGATAAGTATACAGGTAGGAGCTACAAGATGTAACCATTCTAAATTAGTGTAGCATCCAGGTGTCTCCCAGAACAGAAAAGAGATGGTTTTTGAACAGGAAGACACAACCAAGTATTTGTCTTTCAGGAACACTGGGAATTTTTAATCCAAATTAATGCAGTGAATGGAAAATTACAATCCTGAAGCACAATAATTCATGGCCTTTAGGCACAGGGGTATGTGCTGAAAGCTACAAGTACCCTTAAAATGCATTCTTCTGTGTAGGAATCTGTTAAAAAAAAGCTCAAGTTATCTAATATGCTCACAGAGTGATTCACTACTCTCTTAGCCCCTGCTTAGTTTTCTAATACTTTTAACTCCCTGAGGTGAACAGGTTTCTCCAGGTTTCTTCAACATTGTTTGTTGTTTCTCTGGTTTTGTAGGTGGTTCTGTTCTTAATTCATTTTGAATTAATCTGAAGGTTAACTATGCCTCTGTTTTTCCATTTGGTGGATATTTATTTCACACAAATAATTTTTTGTTAGTGGACAAATTACAGACAATGGAGTTAGAGAGGCCTTCATTCCCAAAAAGGAACACTCTCTGCTGTTGTTCTAGTCTCCTGCTTTGCTATTTTGTTCTCTTCTAGGTTAGTTTAGTGAAGGTTAGAGTGTGGCTTAGGCAGAGATAGTTTTTAATGGGAATGTCTGAGAATTCCAAGAACTTTTGTTCAAGCAGATTGAAGGATTTCCTGAATT